CCTAGGCACAAATGAGACCAACCCATTTCACTCCTGTCAAGGGGTCTAGATCCCCATCCAAACTTGGACTCCAAGCCCCCAACACCTGAGACTGGTCTCAGTATGGTGCTTAGACCTCCCCCTAGTACCCGCCCCTAAAAGTCGGTACAAAAAGAGCTGGAACCCATGACAAGAGAGTAACAAGTCTTTCCACTCCCATAAGCAAGTATGTGCTCAGGATAATAAGTCTATGACTTGACTACCATACATAGCAATGGACGGTCCTCAATCAACTCAGGCGGAACAAATGCAACCGAAGCCTCGCTCAGTTGCCTAACCAAGTCCAACCCAATGTACAATCCCATCTGGTCTCCAATTATCATCCATGTATATTCCATGTGATAGTAATATGATAATAATAACAATAATATATGTCCTATCTCTCGCGAGTGACAGGTAATCACTTGACTTCTACCGAGGTCCTATAGCATAGCAATCTACGTGTTCCTATCATACTAATAAGACTCATAGGACAATGATATAAATATGCAAGTGGGTTTCATTCAATAATTCAAAACTTAATGCACAAACATAAAATAAAGTGTAGAATAATAGGGGTTATGCACCGGGGCTTGCTTGGGTAAGATTTAACCAAAGATTAGCATTCCATCGTGGTGACATGATCATCAAGGCACCATCCTTTCACCTACTCCAAATGAGTCCGGAATCCATCGTTGTTCCTATTATATACGTGGATGCAACGTAGAGGCGTAATTAATCAACTGCAACCGATACTCTTAAAAATACGATTACGCCTCACAAGCTAACAAGCTAGCTCTAACGGCTAATGCCCCAGGCTACGTATCCACATGGTCGAGTAAGGCATCGTTTCCCGAAAAATGTTTTAGTTCTACAATCCCAAGGTGTTCCCTTATTTCATTGATTTAACATATATTCGAACTAGGTATCATTAACTATCCAAGCAAACTAATTATTCTAGAGCTACAAAAATTACAGTGAGCATATAATAATACTAGGAACTTACTGTAAAATTTCAAGAATTAACACCGACACCAATTGATCATAAAAATTCCTACAAGTACATACTTTAATAATATTAAAGCATGTTAAAGTATTTAGAGCAACCTTGAAATATTTTAGAGCTATGTGAACCAAACACACTAACAGATAGATTATGATTTTAGGAACCTAACAAAATTAGTTTTACAATTTTTGGTTAGCTACACAATTTTATATTGAATTTACAAGTTTGCTTAGAAACTAAATTAGAAAATTGCTTTAGGAAAAGAAAAAGGCCGGCGGCAACTAATTCGGCCCAAAAGCCCAGCACGGGGTGCGACTGCGCGCGCGTCGCGACGGCCCAGCATGGCCCAAGGCTGGGAGGCCCACGCGCGGTGGCGGCTTTGCAGAAAGTCCCCTGAGCTTTTAGATATTACTACAACTACTATGCGCACTATTCCTACCAACATCGGTTTTGCAAACAAGTCCCAGAACTCTCCCGTCTTCACAACAAGGTGGTCCCCGATGCCACCGCGTGCGATGGCGTGGCGACCGTTGGTAAACCACGGTTACACTGGCCACCAGCAAGGGTCTCCGGTGACCTATGATGGCCGAGCATCTAAGTTACGATGGCGCGCTCCTAGAGACGGTGGTTAGAGACCTAGAGAGGCACTGCAGCATAGCCGACCATGGCGGCGGCTAGGTCAGCTCATTTCGTGTTGGTAGCGAAGCCGTTCCAACGAACCTAAGGACTCATGAGATGATAGAGGTTGCGGAAAAGCAGAAAGGGCTTACCATGAAGCCAGTTGCGCCACCGGTTGAGGCGGGGAAAGACCGAGGAAGCCTGGGCATGTGCGCCTGCACCGCGCGACGGCACTCCGAGGCGAACACCGATGCAACACCACACCTCTGGGGGGAACTCAGGCCAATCTAACATGAGCACCAGCTAGAGGGGATCAAGACGAGTTCAGAAACACAACCAATTGAGTGTTTACCTTTGGGTCGTGGCTTACCCCCAAACCCCTGGTCGCGGCGGTGCTCGTGGCTGGCGGTGAGGAAAAACTAAAATTGGCCATAGACAGACCATGGCTCGGCTCGACGAGAATGGGGCATCTAGCTAACTTCCCATGCTACTCACTGGCACAAGGAATTGGGCTGAGAAGCCATGAGCTAGTGATTAAGAAGGAAGAGGGAAGGGTACATTGCCACTGCCACATTGCTAAGAGTGGCGACGGCTTAAGCAGCTTGGCCAAGACCCGACAAGAGCACGGCAGCATAGGGACATGACCGCACGAGCAAGGGGCAGGAGGCGCATCGGGTAGTGCTCGGATGGAGCCATAAAGGTGTGCCCGCGCGCGGCCACGTGCAAGCAGCAACGCGGCGTCGCGATGCGGCAGGCCACACAACAGCGTCGAGATCAGGGCATGATAGGTGGGTTAAGTGGCAGAGGGTGAGCGCTACAGCGGTCGAGGTGAATTAGAGGACGAGGGGAAACGCCACGATGATCGAGCGACGGCAGTCGTAGCCTCGCCTCAGCCCTGCGCACGGCACAATGGCTCGACGCGGCTTGGACAACAAGAGGACAAGGCGAGGTGAGAGGCGTGTCACGGTGTTGTCCTGGTATGCGGCACTGGCCTACAGGGAAAGGCCATGACCAGCCCTGGGCCAAGCCTGGCGCCAGTTGCGCACGCGCGCGAGGCGACCGTGCCCACGGGGCCAAACGGCTGAAATGGTGACACGCACGCTTATTAAAGTGGGCCAAAAACTACTTACTAACTCGATGAAGGCTCAACCAATTCCATGAACCCAAAGTCGATACTAACACCTAGCTGGCAAAGCAAACCTCACATCTAGAGAGTGACCAGAGAGGGAGATAGGGAGGTGCCAACATGAGTTCGTCATGCTGAACGCCGGTTCGCGAACAAAGCACCAACAACATGGTCCATAGCGCGTTCTAAGGAGGGTTGGGCAATTTTTACAACGCCAACGCAAAATCCAACGAGTCCATGAACTACACCATGCTAAGGTACTCACTGTGGTGCAACCAACAGTACAAAAACATGGATCTAGTGTTTAAGAAATTTAATCAAAATTTAAATGCCAAAATGGCATGGTCATTAGGTTTTCAGACTTAAGTCATTTTCGTTCTAGAAGCAGAAATTGAATTCCACATTCAATTTTTGAGCTATCAAAAATACTATTGAACAACATCTACTTAGCAAAACAAAAGTTGCATTTTCATCTACTAAACTTGTACTTCAAATTTTATTTAAGTACTAAGTACAAGTTATATTTTGTTTTTGTTTATAAAAATTGTTTTTCATTGCTTAATCGAATAAAATAAGCCATTCACTATTTATTTACTAGAATTGCTATCAGGCATTTTTAAGCACTTTCTTCATACTTTTTCAAAACAAACCCTAAACAACTTTTGTTCCCAAGATTATTTAAGAGCTTTTAAGAACCAAGGCAAATTGATTAGCAACACTTATTTGTTTCTTTATCCACAAAGGCGAGCCACACAAAGTTCACCTTATCATTTCATGTGAGAATTCATTGTAAAAACCTGGAAAACGTATTAACTAGGGTTTATTAGACCTTAACCTCTGTGCTAACTAAGTCCGTAATACGAGGGGTGTTACAGATAATCTTTGCAGGATCAAAGTTATGTTAAGGCAAATCCCATCCTAACTGCACTTGGTTACTGAAATCTTCATGTTGGAGCCAAAAGTTTTCAAACCGAAAGATATTACCTTTGGGGATATCAGTTGACACTGTCACTAGGCATGGAACATGATCTGATGTTTCTATGGCTAAAGTACAAACAACACTGTTGTGGTAGGCAGTAGTCCAGCTGGTAGATGTGAAAAACCAATCCAAACACTCCAGGAGAGGTGGCTGTTGTTTATTAGTCCATGTGTATCTTTGACCTTTCAAAGGTAGCTCTACTAAACTGAGTGCACTAATAGCCTCATTGAAAAGAAGCATCTCTGCATAATCCGCACCTGGCCTATTACGATCCTCAGGATTATGATAAAGATTAAAATCGCCAACAAGTAGCCAATCCACATCATCAAGCATAGGAATTTTACCGAGCCACTGAACAAAAAGCCCTTTTGCCCAAAGGAGTACAACGTGGATAAACATTGGTTAATATCCATGTTGCATTATTTTGAGTGGACGAAAAAAGGAATGAAGTAGCATACTCATTCTAAAAAATGAGCTGACCAGAGAACATAGAGCTCTTCCAAATAATTATGGACCCACCAGAGGCACCATTGGAAGACAGAAATTCAAAGCTGTCAAAAGTTGGAGGACAAAAGAGACGAATAAAAGCATGATCAAAAGTAGAACGCTTAAGGCATGTACAACACACAGACCGGAGGTCGTCTGCAAGAGCCTCGAATCTGATGTACAGACACCTAGAAGGACAGATCATACAACCCACAGACATGGGTCGTCTGCAAACTATTTAATACTTTGCATGTAGCTAAGATCATTCATGAATATCATTTTGTATACCATTGTGTTGCTGTTTGATAGATAATGGATTCACAGCTACATTGAATACACAAAATGAAGCCAAAGAAATTAGAAATATTTCAAGGTACTATGCATTGGCATTTCTGCAACTCCATACATCAGCATGACAGCCAAAGAAATTAGCAAATTTTCAAGGTACTATGAAATTAGAAAATAAAAGCATGACAGCTCCATACATCAGCATCTTGTTGAGCTTTGACAACAACTAGCTTTCTGATTCTCATCCTGTAAACAAACAGAACGAAGGAGAAGATCAGACGGACAACTTATAGTAGTTTTCAGCTGAGAACGCTAACTGAGAATTCAACAACAGACATATGAGATGACATGCTGCTGATCAGGAAGCATATAGCAAGATAATTTCAGAATAACCATTAGATAACATGTAAAATCAGGAAGCAAGATAACATGTAAAATCAGGAAGCATACACTGCACCTGGGAAACTTCAGAATAATCATTAGATAATTTCAGGAAAAAGCATCTTCCTTAAACACTTCATGGCAGCAAGTCGCTCAGACTTTTCGTCGTCTGTCATTGAACTTGTATCTTGTGAGATGAGGTTGTTATATGCATCCATCATCTTTGATTCTTTCTCAAGCTTCTTCCCCTCCATCTCAAGCTTCTTTGATTCCATCTCAAGCCTCCTCCCCTCCATCTCAAGTTTCTTGGACTCTCTGTTCTCCTGTGCTGTTAAATGGGTAAGCCTTGTGGTCTCAATCTTATCGGAAGACAACTTTTGCTGCATCTCTAGCACCTTCATGCGGTTTGCATTAACTTCTTCTTGGATCTTGCTCAATTTATCAAGCTTTTCCACATGATTTGCGGATTCCTCTGATTTTCCATCATCACCCATTGCCTTTGACTTGCCTTTTGCAGCAAGAGCGGACTTTTTAGCTGCCTTTTGTCCCATTGGTCGCTTTGGCATCTCATCTTCACTGTCAACATTTTCCACATCTTCTTCGAGGTGATATGACTTCCTTTTACGAGCGTTCTTCAGCTCTTCGTTGTATGTTTTCCACTTTTACACTTTACGACAATTTTTCCAAACATTCTTAATCACAAAGGGTCCAAGCTTGTGATCCAAATAGAACTTCTCGGCTGTATCCATCCACATCTCATCGGAGTAGCCACTTGTGAACACCCTACGAGCCTTCAAATACTCAGATTCAAAGAGGTCACACCACCTATTAATCTTGTGCCAACGATCCTTGGCTTGCTTTGCATTCCTTTTCCTTTGCGGCGGGGTCTCCTTGTTGTATGCCTTGATAACATCACCCCAATATGCTTCGCCCTTCCTATCGGCTCCAGTGGTTGAGTCCATTGAATTTTCAATCCAAGCACTCATCAATCTTTCATCTTCTTGTGGTGTCCACATAATCCGCTTCTCAGTCCTAACCATTTCGTTCTCATCATTAACTAGAACATGTAGCTGCTCTGATAAGAATTCCACCTCTGAGGGAGAACTTCCTCCATTGGTTTCAGGAATAGATATATTGACATGGCTATTGTGAGAAGGTGTACCAACCAAATGAAAATTATGTGGCTGATTGCCAAAGTACCTCATGAAACCACCTTGTGTGTCTTTATCCCTATAAAAAGAAATAGTGACAGAGCAGCTACCATCATGAAACATACAAGAATGAAATATCCTTTCCTTATCAAGAAATGAGTGAACAATGCGAGCATTCAGCTGTCCTTATCATCATTGAATTACTATTAAGTGTGCATTGAGGTGCAGAGAATAATTCCACTACTTTATATATTACTAACTACTAGTAACATCAGCATTCTGAGCATATATATATTTCAAAGACATGCAGTAATCTACTGATAATCAAATATATGCAGTAATCTACTGATAATCTTACAACTAATTTAATAAATAACAACTACCTTCTTGATTAAGCAATTGTTAATAACCACTACGTAAGGCAGATACAAAAGAGAAGAAGCAAACTACTCTTCTGGGAAACATATCACGTCAACCAAATGCACTACTCTACTGATAATCAAAGACATGCAGTAATCTACTGATAATCAAAGACACCTACTGATAATCTACTGATATCTATTTTCAGAAGAAAAAAAACATGCAGTAATCTACATCACAACGATCAGGCTCACAAGTTCTCTTACCATGTTGCATCTGAATGCCGAACTGAGGAAGACCCTGGACTAGCGCCGGCAGGTGGCGATGGAGGGAACGGAAATCCGATAGGGGAGGATTCGGCCGCGCCGGATGCAGCCATGGATCCGCGGCCAAAGGGACGGAGGCCGGCCGGTGGGCTGGATCCGCGACCAAAGGGGAGGAGGCTGGCCGCCGAGCCGGATCTGCCTCCAACGGGGAAGAGGCCAGCTGCCCTGCTGGATCCACGACCAATGGAGGAAGAGGCCCGCGTGCTGCCGACCTTGCCCTTCCGCCCCGCCGCCACTCTCAACGCCGCCGGCGCCGCCGCCGCGCCTGAATCCGATGGTGTGCTAGGGTGGTCCATCTCGCTGGTGAAGTTTCCCGGAAAGATTGAAGAATATATGGAGACAGCAGTGGATTTGGCGCGCAAAATCCATTCCCGCACGCCCTCAACTTCCTCCGCGTGCGCACGCGCCCACACTGGATCCTCTGCTCGTCGACTCCCCCGTACAACGCGACTCTAGAGAGACGACGGCTTCTTGGACCACGAGCCACGCTCGTCGTCTCGCGAAGCGCCGGGGCAAGCTCGTCTGCTCAGTTCGGGGGTTCTTTTTGTAAAATACGCGACGTACAGACGTACAGACGAGGTATACAGACGCGCTGTACATGCCCTTAGTCTTCTGAAGACAGATAACATCACAGTAACTGTCAGTGACTCGATCTCCAATCGAGTTCCACTTCTTTTCAGAATTTATGCCACGAACATTCCAACTGAGTATTTTCCATTGTCTTAGAGCCATTTGGAACAAAAGATGTTTATAGCAAAAGAAAAGTCCTAAGCAAAATCAAAGCTGGACAGCCAGGAGGTCACTTCTTGCCCTTCTTTCGGTTGGGACCATCTTCCGGGTCCTTGTTAGCTTTCTTGGGCTTCTTTGCCTTGCCTTTGCCAACAGCCCCCTTCTTGTTGGGCTTTGCTCCAAGCTTCTCGTCAGTCAACGACTCGGGATTAAGCTTGCAGAAGGAGGTACCGAGATCACGAACTACAGATACAGATAACAAAGGTGGATCAGAATTACAGCCTAGGCAGTTACGATCTTTGCAAATTGGGGATTTAAAGCCCCTGGAGATATCATGAAGTCGATCACTGCGACGAAGATTAGCCTCAAAAAGATGCAGAGATTTACCCCTCTTGGCCCGAGGCACCGGTTTGGTAGTGGTCAAGGGAGGTGATGGAGTCTGAAGGATTGGAGCTGGCTGCTCCATGGACAACACCGGAGAGGATAGTTTCGGGAGATTGAGATCAGAAGAGCAGGATATGGAGTTGTTGGCCGATGGGTTTTTTTTCTCATTCTAACAAGAAACCAGAATTGGGAGTTGATTTACCAAACTGATGGAGATGCACCTAGAGGAAATACAATATCTTACTAGGAATAGAGCTTTTGGTAATAAAAAACCGTAATAATTTTTTTAATTAAGTACCCAAATATAGCCATGCTCCGTTCCAAATTTTCTCGCTAGATAAAAATATAGAGCAAAATTGACTCTGTAGAGTGCCTACAATAGTGAAGATGTTAGAGAGTGGAAAGATATATGGATCGATTTTTATTTAAAAATTGCTTTCTAAATAATGATTTAGGGACTGAGTTGAGAGATGCAAATTTTATTCGAATGACTCTTCAAATGATAATTTAGAGAGTGAGCTTAATAGAGAGATTTTTAGAGATGCTATTAGATAGTTTGCTAAGTCACGTTGTTATCCTTATTTGAAACGGACAAATGGTAAAGAAAAGAAAATCAGATTCGCGGGACAGTTTTTCTATGTGCTAAAAAATATCACTTTCGCGGGACAGTTTTTCTATGTAGCAGGAAAACGTCACATTCACTGATAGCTTCCTATTTATTTTTTATTTATTTATGTATAGCTTGAGCACAGAAGTTGCTTGTAGGTTGAGCTGCGCTTGTCTTGTGCTTGGTTGAATGCCGTCATAGATGAGTAAAGAATTGTTGTCCGTTTGCCCCTGTTGTCGTCCGTAAGGGTTTTAATAAGAAATGAAAAACTTGTTGGGTATCACCTTTGATTGTTCCAAGAGACATTAGTACATTTTTATTAAGAAAATGAAAACGTCACCGTACTTCTGATGGTGGCTGGCCTGTTTATTTGAATTTACATACAGTATAATGTACAGTATTTTTCTCTTTCCACTAAAGAGCTTCAGCTGACTTATACCCGAACGGGCCTGGCAGCGAACAAGGAGGCATCTTTCGTTGAAATTCATCTGCCGTGCCCTTGCTTTTCCGGCTTCGGTACTTCCGTCGCTGGTGAAGAGTCTTCCACCAAATCAACCCAACCCAACCCAACCCAATCCAAATCGCGGATCACTGGCCATGGCAGCCGGGATGGAAGGGGCGGCCGCGAGGCTGTTACCGGCTTCGCCTGTCTTGGGGCGCCTCATCCATCGGATCCGAGCGCTGGACGGCAGCGGCCAGAAGAGGAAGAAATGGGCGGCGACCGTCGGAGACCAGGTGATGGACAAGCTGCTGGATATGGCGACCAACCTTGCGAAGCTCCAGATAGATCTGGTGGGAATCGAGAAGGCGTTGACCATGGCCGCGGATCTCGCGCGCCGGCTGCTCGAGATCAGGGACGCCGCTGATTGCCTCCATGACCTCGTGGACAAGCTCGAGTATGGCAGGATCCGCTCCCGCCTTGCCAAGGACTCAGAGGTCAGGACACATCCACTGCTGATTCCATCCCTGCTTTTCCTTGGCCGCTCCAAGTCCAAGCATGGCAGCAGCAGCAGCAGCAGCTTTGAGATTGACCAGATCCGTCTGCTGGAGGAATTCCGTGATGGTGTTGCTCAGTCCAGGCATCTTATCACGCTGCTCGGTAAAGAGAAAGGCAATAATGTTCCAGGGCTGCCTAGTGTACGGATCCTTGTACTAGATCCTCAGAGTTGCGTCGCAGTGGCAGCAACGGTCTCCCTGGAGCACCGCGTGGTTGGCCGCGAGGATGAGCAGGACAACATAGTTCGCTGGCTGATCAACTCGTCCTACCGCCTCTCTGTCGTCTTCATGGTTGGCAGGTGCGGCGTGGGGAAGACCCCGCTCGCGCAACTAGTCTACGATGACACTCGGGTAAAGCAGCACTTCGATCTTAGGATTTGGGTCTCTGTTTCAGGCTCACTCAACAAGGTGGACATCACCAGGGAGATCCTGCAGTCTGCCAATCCTGGTTACACCGATACGATGGCCAGGGCAGACTTTCAGATGCTTCAGTCTGAGCTATCTAGTTTAGTGGCATCACAGAGGTTCCTTCTCGTGCTAGATGACCTGATTGATTGCAGCAAGATGGAACCGATGCACACAGAGAACTGGACAGATATCTTTGCTCCTCTACATTCAGCAGAGATAGGGAGCTCCGTTTTGGTGAATACTCCAATGATGATGGTTCCCCAAATGCCAGATACCTCTCAGCCATACGCTATCAGCATGTTAGACAAAAGCAAATGTTCAGACTTGTTCATGGAATGTGCCCCCAGCAGCAAAAACTTTGAAAGTTCTCCACAGTCGGAACACATAGTCACGGAAATGGCTAACAAGCTGCAGAGGTTGCCGTTGGCTGCCAAGGTGTTGGGAGGAGTGCTTGGGGCTACAAGCAGTTCAGAGGAAAGGAGGAGCACCATGGACAGAATAAGCAGCGTTGATGTCGCCCTTCACTCTGTGCAGTTAAGTTATGATTTCCTGCCGCCACAAATAAAGGAATGCTTTGCATATTGTTCCTTATATCCCAAGAACTGGAAGTTTGATCGGACAAAGTTGATCCACCTCTGGATGGCTGAGGGTTTTCTTGAACCACAAGAGAATCCTGAGAAACGGATGGAGGACCTAGGCTCTAAGTATTTTGACACTCTCGTCTCGCTGTCCAGCTTCCAGGAACACAAACAAGGCTCCAAGACGTACTATCTGATGCACCACTGGTTTCATGATTTGGCCGAGGCAGTTTCAGCCAATGTTTGCTTTCGTATTGAACCAGGATCCAAAGTTGAAGTTCCTCCAACAGTGCGACATCTGTCAGTTACCACTGATAGTCCACTAGATCTCAATGGATGTTGCTTACCCAAACAGCTGCGCACCCTGTTAATACTAAGATCTCCTTTGTATTCCTTGCAAGATGACCACCTGCGGAAGGTAAACAAGTTGCATGTTCTTGATCTCTCCGGCTGTTATGTAGCACAACTGCCTGAGTCAATTGGTGAATTGGTTCACCTCCGTTACCTATCCCTCTGTGGCACTCTAAGGAGACTTCCTGAGTCATTGAGCAGCCTGTTGCATCTGCAAATATTGTGCTTTCCTGAGGATTGTTGTCTTGATGAACTTCCTACAGGAACAACTAACCTGGTCAACTTGCGGTACCTCGACATCGATACAAAGTACATCACAAAGTTGGCTGGCATCAGGCGGCTCGTTAATCTTCAGGGATCACTTGAGCTCCATGTTGAAAAGGGACGAGGGCATATTTTACAAGACCTGAGAGATATAAATGGTCTCCATGGGCACCTAAAGATAAGTGGTCTGGATAATGTCTCATCAAAGGAAGAAGTCCGCAAAGCTAAGCTGAACAACAAGCAGTATCTTAAGACCCTGAAACTGGAATGGACCACTGCTACTAGATTTCTCTATCATACTACCGATGTTGAAGTGTTGGAAAACCTGCAACCCCACCCAAACATAAAGGAACTCTCTATTAGAAGGTATGGTGGCTCCATAGCTCCAAGTTGGCTGCATATTCCCTTGCTGAAGGAGCTACAGTCCTTGCACCTTATCAATTGCAGGAATCTGTCCATACTTCCTCCACTGGGACAGCTTCCCTCACTTGAAAAATTATATATGAAGGAGCTGTGCGCAGTTACTCAAATTGGGCCTGAGTTCTACCACTCTAATGATGTTGCATTTCCATCTCTAAAGGTCCTTGAACTTGTTGATTTTCCAAGGTTGCTTGAGTGGTCCAGGGAAGTGAACTGCACTTCATTTCCTTGCCTCAAAAGTCTAAGGCTTATAGACTGTCCAGAACTCAAGCAGATTCCTTCACTCCCAGCTAGTATCACCGAAGTTACAGTTGAGCGTATATGTTCCATCAGGCGTTTGAAGCTTGCCCAATTTTCTACAAGTTCTGTTATGCTTACCATGGATTCTTGCATGACTACCGTTCTCTGCAAAAGATTATTCCTTCAACAGCATCTAGAAACTATCACAGTTCTAAGCATAAACGGTGGCGAACTGTTTTATACCACTGAAGGACTGGGCTCCCTTCTTTCTCTGCAAAAACTGCAGCTATGTCAATCTGACATGACAGACCACAACTTTAGCTTGTTTCTCCAGGCTTTGCCTTCTCTGTCCTCATTGGAAATGACAGATCTACCCAACATAACAGCACTTCCAGTGCAGGCAGATCTTAAGCTTGTTGAGTTGCATATCCGTAACTGTCCACTGCTTTCTTCTCTATCCTCCTTGCAAGTTTTCATTTCACTAAAATGTCTGGTGATTGAGAGATGCCCAAAACTAACAGCAGCATCCTTTCCAACAAGTTTTGGGAGCCTTGCATCTCTCAAGATGTTGAGCATATCCTACTGCTCACAGCTTCAGTCTTTGCCCGTGAGCGGTCTGCCATCTTCACTACAGGAACTTAACCTTATTGGGTGCCATCCGAGCTTAGTTGAGCAATCGAGAAACAAGAAAAACTATCCCTGGAAGATTGCTACTGTGTCTGAACAACTTATGCACTGATGGAACAACGACTCGTTGGTATATATACTTAATATATACTTAACATGACATGCCTCACCTGCTCCGTCGTAAATTGATGTGGACATTGTGAATTTGAGTTTTCGTTTGTACCTCTTATGTTATCTTTTGGACCATTGCAAATTGCTTGTAAAACAAAAAAAAGTTATGTAGGGGAAGTGATACCACTCTAGTGTAGGGGCTTGTTTATTCATTTGCCATATGTTGGAGATCTGGAAGTTTCTTTTTTGTTTTCTGTGTGCGACCATGTAAAAACCATTCTCACCTTTTTCATGTTTTAGAATTACAACTGCATGAACAGTCCTTATTATGAATGGTGAATGCACCCTAAGGGTCTTTTGGAATGCAGGATATCTAAAACATAGGATTGAAGTTGTATGCTACTTACAATCCTGCAGGAATTAAAAATGTAGGAAAGTTTCTAATGAAGTATTTGGATAGCACAGGAGAAAGAAAGGAATTAGAAGAGATACACACAAAGAAGAGTTTCTAAGAGGTTGAACCTCATGTTATATGTCCTCAATTCCTGTGGATTGAGCCATTCCATAGGAAGTTTGTAGGATTTAAGGATGACCAATTATTTGTTCTAAGGGCTAAATAGAAAAAAAATCCTTATAATCCTAGAAAACTCCTTGATGAATCCTATGTTCCACCTGTGTTTAACCTAGAGCAATACTAGGTCAGGACACATCGTTACTCAAACCATTGTATGGACACATCGTTACTCAAACTATTGTCAAGGACACTGGAGGAGAAACCTGAGTCCTGTCACATTTGAACTAGTGAATCGTGCTAATAATAATGCAAGAAAAGAACACATCCAGTTACCACCCCTTTTAGTATCACTAGAGATTGGCCCATGCATTGCTGAGTACAAAAATTTGTATGAAAAAAGTTGCATGAAATTTATCTAAGCCCGTACGTTGCTACATGGAACAAAAATTATAGTGACAAAATTAGATTCTCAGAAAAGAGAAAATAGAGATGAATCTTAGAACTGATAATTCGCTGAAGTACTCAAACTCAGGCAAAAAAAAAGGGCATTAATGATTGAACCTTCTCAGCATGTGAGATACATGCTACACGCCGGACATATGAATGCCTACATTACTTTAAAAAAAATCAATGCCAACACTACGTTAGCTTCTCAAATTATAGTCACCAGATTCATTGTACAGTTACCAACAGCTCTCGCCTAAAATCTAAAGCATGGGCAATGTTGGGGGGCAGTACCCTCGCTCCGACGCCCGTTCTCTTCTTCGTCCTTAAGATTGTTTTCACACAAAGTTTGTTCTGTAGGAGCTCTTGCCAGGAATCAACCTGTGGCGGGCGTGACGAACAAACCTTCGATGATGTACCACTGGTGCAATGCTCAAGGCCAGTGGGGTGATGGAAGGAAGCGTCGCGAAGCGATCGAAGGTGATCGGAAGATGACATCGAGGTCCCCACCATGCCAGGGGAGTGGTCAAATTCTTCGGAGCATCGAAAGACCATAGTGTCCCTACAGCCGACGAGAATATTCATTGAACTTAAGATCGATTCGCATGCTAACAAGCCTCTCAAGATTGACCATCAACTTAAGTGCCTCAAGAATCCAAACAACCAAGAGCACTCCAACTAAGAGTTAACAAAAAATTTACAGCCCAACACTGAACTAGTGCTTCTAGATGCAAACTCTCTAAGCAAATACACTAGATCTCTCCCTAATCTCACTTTTGATCAAACACTAAACAAGGGAGTGAGTGTGAGGTGTTTTTGATCTCTCAAGGGAGGTGTTGTTCGGTTAGAATGACAAAAGATGGCCCAAGGGCCAAGCACACCACCTACTTATAAGCCCCATTAAAAACTAGCCATTGGAAGCTTGGACAGAAGCTTTTTGTGGGGTCATCGAAAAAGTCTGGTGACCATCGGAGAAGACCCACCGAATAAACGGTTATGAAGATCCAATGGCTAGAATTCAATCTAGATCAACTTCCTCTGGCGCTTATCCATTGTTGCGGTTGGTGCAACCACCGGACAAATCTGGTGGCCACCCCGAGCTTGGCCTCAGCCAAACTAGCCATTGGAGGCCCAACGGCTAGTAGGCCGCTTCTTATGGTGCTACTCTGGTGACACCAGACTAAAAAAGTCCAGTGGCTCCCACCGGAATTTTGGTGCCACCTCTACCTTAGGCACTGAGATAGCTTTTCAAAAATATTTTTTTCAACGCATTTTCACATGCTTCCTCACAACGTCACTAGGTCCAATGCATATGCAAAGTTATTTCAAACCTAGTATACTAGATAACTGTTCGCTTTAGAGTTTCCCTCTTAATAGTAGAACTATCTATCTTAAACCCGACCATGCACTCTATTACATCTTAGCCGGTGAAATGAAAACCCCTAGCATATACTTTTGCCTTCGGGCCTATTTTCATCTCCTTATTAATTTGCCGCAGTTTTTCCCAGTTGCTTAGGGTTTAGTCCAAATAAATCTTTCGGCGAAATCAGATGATTTTTTGGTCAGGATCGTGTTTCCTGCGATGACTTTGATGATTTCCACGATGAGATCGCCGTTGCAGGCATTGACTTCATTGGCAGACGGCCAAGTAGTGGCCATTATCTGCAAGGAGAGGGTGCTTCTGGGCGCCCCTAATGAAGAACAGCTACTCTGGGTCATCGATCTCATCGTCGTTAGTCGCGGAGAGGAAATCAAGGTTTGAAGGTGATGAATCTACATCCTATGCTGCTCCCGATGAAGTAACTGCCGATATTCTTTCATCGATTTAGATGCATTTTGGATTAGTTCCAAAGCGTTGGATCTTGCGGCATGTCCAATGTTTTGAGGTTGGTTGTTGGATCGGCATAAGGACTGTACTTTTTCTCTAGCGTTCAAGGAATGCCATTGGGAAAGAAGAAGATAAAAGAATCAAGATAGAATATTGTGTATTTTTTATTTCAGAGTTTTCTATATGTAATTTGGAGATTTACTATGCAGAGTTTTAATATAATCCCCCTTTCCTTAACAAAAAGTGGCAAGCCATCAAAAAAGCATCCAATCAACAAAGCATGCAGGGGTAACCAACTAACAAAGCATGCATGCAGGAAATGCCGACCACGCCATGAGGCTAAATGGCTAGTGACCTAGGCTATCCAAAAGTAGAGAGCGAATGAGGCGGGATAAAGACCTACTAAATTTGGAGAGTCATTTATTGTATGTTGGAGATGTTTCTCTTTTAATAATAGCCAAATTAACCTTTAGAAAATGATTTGAATAATCTCTTGGAGATGCTTAGGTAGGGCGTGCATTTGGCCGCACTACCAGATTAGTGGAGTTCTCCTAGTGCCAAAAACACTCGGGGGAAGTCAAATTCATGATTAAAGGCAATGAAGAGACAACAAGAGAAAAGGAAGACGCATGCTCTTCCTCAAGCCCCATGCCGTAGCCTACTCCGGGCACAGTGGCCACCCCCAAAATGGCGACCTCCCCCACCGCTAAGGCCCCATTCCCCTCCTTGGTGGCCTGCCTTGTCACAATGATGGGCCGTTCTAAGTGAAAGGATTAAGATGCCCAAGAGAGGGGGGGTGAATTGGCCTAATTCTAAAATTCTTTGCAATAATTAAACCCTACGGTTAGCCCACTTCACCCCTTGTGCCTAGAAAGTGTTTCTATTGTTCTACCGCATAAAAGTTTAGCAACCTATGTTCCAATCCTACTCTAGCATGACAATTCTATGAATGTAAAGACAAGAATTGAATTGCTCAAAGTAAATGCTTAAAGTAAAGAGAGAAGGAGGAACACGGTGATGTTTTGCTGAGGTATCGAAGAGTCGCCACTCCCCACTAGTCCTTGTTGGAGCACCCGCGCAAGGATGTAGCTCCCCCTTGATCTACGCAAGGATCAAGTGCTCTCTACGGGTTGATTCTTTGACACTCCGTCGCGGTGAATCACTAACAACCGCTCACAACTTGAGTTGGGTCATCCACAAGCTCCGCCGGATGATCACCAAACTCTCAATCACCACCAAGCCATCTAGGTGATGGCGATCACCAAGAGTAACAAGCACGAACTCTCACTTGACCATGACAAGCCTAATGAGAAGGGTGGATGCACACTTTGCTACTCTTGCTTTCACTAATGAGGCCTCTCTCTTGGATTCTCAAATCTCAATTACCTCACTAGGACCTTGCTCTTCTTGGCACTCTCAAGGGTGTTTCTTAGTTGTTGAAATGAGCAAAAGTGATCCCTTGAGTGAATAGAGGAAGTATCTATAACCCCTCATTCAAAACGAACAGTTATGTGCCACTGCGGGGTGACCGGACTCTCCGGTCAGTTCTCCCCGCCACCGAGCAGTTAAGTTGTGACCGGACTCTGTCCAGCGTCCGGTCAGCATTGATCGGACGCGCCCGGTCACAAAAACTGCCCTCTGGAACCTTACTGATGTTGATCGGACTCTGGCACCCAGCGTTCGGTCACTTTGTTGCTCAGCGTCCGGTAAGTAGCCGGAACCTGACCAACGTCTGGTTAGCACTGACTAGATGCGTCTGATCAGGATTCTCCCTCTCTGGGACCTTACTGGACTTGACCGGACTCTGGCACCCAGCGTCCGGTCACATTTCACTCAGCATCCGGTCGCATCCAAATGACTTCACCTTGGTCAAATGAACTGACTGGACTTTGAGCTAGCATCCGGTCACACCGAACCAGCGTCTGGTCAATATTTGACCCTTCATTCACTTCTAACTCGCAACCATATGTGAATGAAGTTCGCTCCAATTGATCTAAGGGCTATTTAGGAGCTACCTAGTGCTAGATTAGACAAGTGTGCACCATACCTAACCCACTAGACTCACCTAGGTCAAGCTACCCGTCCATACCCCCCTTAATAGTATGGCCAAAGGAAAAAAAAGTCCTAAACTACTCTAAGTGTCTCTTCAACACCAAACGACACTTAGAACTAGTTCATCCTTAACCTTGTCGTCCATCCTTTGAAAACCGAAACA